ATATATATATATATATATATATATATATATATATATATATATATATATATATATATATATATATTACAAGTATAACTACATTTTCATATATACACTCTTTTGATTGATATACTTCTAGATACGTAAAATTATATATATATATATATATATATATATATATTAATATTTTTAAAATTTTTCTTTATATTTCTAAAAAACATAAAATGCGTATTTATATTTCTAAAAATGTATTTATACGATGTTTGGTTAAATTTTTTTTTGTCATATACAAATTAGTGTTATACCCGTCCGGTGGACGGATTTATAAGATTTAATTTGATTTTAGGGCTTAAGGTTTTTAACATAAAGATGAAAGATATGAACAATAAAGAAGATGAGGACATATTCATCATTATACATGGACTTAGAAGAACAATTTTAATTTAAGACAATTCAAGAAGATGAACGTTAACATTAAAGAACATGTGTTGATTCAAAAACACTATGAAACTTATTAAAAGTTAAAACAAATACAAAAGTTATTGGCAAAACGTGTAATTCGCCTATATTCTAATATAATTACAAAGAATGATAATCATTTAGATACTTATAAAAAATACTTAGAGCATACGGTGTGGGTACAAGATTTGTTCGTTGTGGCTGAGGTGGACGCCCACAACGGCGTTGCATCTTGTTGTACACCACCCCGACATCTAGTTGCTTCTTGTCATGAGGCTTCTTGTTGCCGTTACAACCTAAAGCAACGAGTAAAAATGCGAGCATTGCCCTCTTTTTAGCCGTTGTCAACAGTCAAAACAAAAAATAAATAAATAAATAAAACATATTTATTCTCAAAAAGTTGGTGTTACATCTTGTTGTCCATTTCCCCACTTGGTGTTATAATACCATTTGCTTATGTGGCATGTGAGATGTCACAACTTGATGTTGCATCTTGTTACCCACACCCAATGGTCTTATTTTTGAAGGCAACTAAATATATGTTATATTTGAGATTCCTCAAATACTTGAATAGAGTAGTTTGTATAGTTTAGCATCTTTATAGTCGGTCCGTATTTATTGCATTATTAAGAGTCAGATATTAACTTCTTCCCCACGCTTTCTCTATACTTCAAGAAAGTTTATATACACAAAAGAGCAACAAATTAAAACCCAAATGATGATTATTGTATTTAAGTACAAAGATTAAATCACAAATTAAATTTGTTATTTACTATCAAAAGTCACAAATGAGAACTAGAAATTGCGAAAAAAATGAAAATTGAAAAGTATTGGCAAATCACTATTTTTGACCTGTAAAAAGGAAATCAACAGTGTAATCATGTGGCTCCAAACTAATCTTCTCAAAAAAAAGAGAAAAAGATGTCATTTCAAAAACTAATGTGGCTCCTAGTTTCCCTCACTTAACTTAAAGATAAACCTTGTTTTCATGTAATAAGGGAATCAAAATGGTAATCTAATCAAGAGCATAATCATAATTGGGAAGTTGGTTGCTCAAACCACAGTTGTTGAATCATATTGGATGTAATTTTCATCAACTTCACAGAAAAATTCATTCCCACATAGATTGCCCAACCATGAACTCCAAGATCTACCCTCCGTATCATATCCATTCACATTTGATTCATCACTATCTGTCATCAATAAAAAAGTTAAAAAAAAAAAAACTAAAGTTTGAAATTAAATTTTCATATCTAGGTTTATGTCTAATTTCAAATTTAGTATTGATCATAAATGGAATAGGCATGACATTTTGTCAAACAGTTGATATGCATAATATTTTACCAGTTATTGATTCAAAGTGAGACAGGTTTCTCAAAAAAATAATATTATTAATGATAATATGTATGGTTAATCCCTATATAATTAAATTACTGACCTTGAGAGAAAATGATTATAAGTCTCATTTAAGTGTTCCGCATATCAGATCAGATTACGAGTATATATGTAATATGTACCACTGGAACATACGAATATATTCCGATTCCATACTGCTCTCTCGCTTTCTCTTGAAAAGCCAGTCATCTCTTTTCATTGCCACAAAAAAATCTCCTAATGTCGGTAGGAATCGATTCTCCTTCTTATTTCTCAATCGTTGTGTACTTGTGTTAAGTTTGCTATTTGCTAAATTCAGTATGCTTATTACGTTTAAATCTGTTCTCTATGATCGGAATTTGATGGCGTAGTGTTGATTGATCGATTGTTTCCTTCTTCTTCCATTCCTGAACATCGATTTGATAGTTTGATTTGTAAGCATATAGGCGACACTAGTTGTTACCTGTGATTTTACTCTTTGTTTTAGTTGATTTAGGCATATTTCGTTTACGTTATTGTTTATCCATTAATGAAAGGACAACAATTAATGAAGCTTGTGTTTGTTTTTATGTAAAGTTCTTATCTGCCACATTTGGAAGTAACGTGTTCTGCATTTCTATGTTTGCTTAAGAAATTTGCTGGAAGGAAGTATCAATCTAATCTAATCGTTATATTATAGTATATATGAAGCAGATCCTCGTGAAACCTAGAAAAAGATGTAGAATTTGGGTGCCTACATACTTGAAAATATAAATTGAAGGAATTGAATTAGGATGGGTGGTGTTATCTATTTGAAGCTGCTTCTATTTTGTATATCAGGTTTTTATGATTATCATTCATGTACATATCATGGTTTTGTAATCATACTTATGATGATCTAAATCCAGCTCCTATATAATGGATAAACTGCCTGCATAATGATCTCCATTTATTTGTGTTGGTAATTTTTGTGTTATTAAATTAACAAAACAGGAAGAAAAGGGTTTGGGGATTGGGATGTGAATGATCCTACTTCAGCAGAGGGTTTCACTGTGATTTTCAATAAAGCCAGGTGGCAAACCGGAGTCACCACCAACCACTTCCGATCCTCATGCTACTGCCACCGTTAAGCAGCCTCAATCTGTAAGTGTTCGTGTCATCTTTTTCACTGATTATTGTTTTAATATCTTATCAGCTAACCAACTTATTCAAAATTGAACTGGATTGCAGAGGAAGTGGTTTTTCTGCATAAAAGCACCTCATGCGGAACCCTGACACCGGCCGCCGCCTGCAACTACCAGCTTCCGCCGTCGCTGCTGAGTTTGTTTTGGTTGGAACAGCCAACTTTTTAAATTTGCCTTATGTATATACCAACCAACCAACGGAATTCATTGTTTATTGCTTCTACTCTTTTGGTACGATAATTCTAATGAATCTCGATCGAAAATTAGGGCAAAATTTAAAATTACCAACGTTTTATTATATTATATATGTTCACCAAAATCAAATCAAATCAACCCTAGCTTGTAGTTAATTCGTCTTCTTCATGGTAGACCTGTAATGATCTGCTTGTTGTTTCACTTCCGAACACTTTTCATTCTTCCCACCGGACCCGTCTTCAAGATCCTGGCAACCTGCGGTTGCTTTCCGGTCACCGACGCAATCAGTAACCGAAATACCTCCGCAATGATCTCTGCACAGCTGCGAAATCTCTCCGGTGTCTAGTTCCTTCTCCACCCGCTCTGCCTCTATCGTGGCTGAATCTTCAGGGTAATGCTCTTGCTCTGCTTTCATCGTCGCCATATCGCCGATCTGGTTTGATAGCTACAGCATTATGGTCGTTTGTTTGTGTCATTTATTTTGCTTTTGGTTGACTTGTACGCGTGACACGTGTACATTGCTTTGTCTACGTGGGTACAGTAGACACGTGGCTAAAGTGATAAATCTTCCGGTTTAGATCAGCTTTAGCAAACCCCTCAACTATTGTTGTACGAAGTAGATATCACTTCACATCTTTTATTATGGAAAAAAATATATCATAAAGAGATTACATCGTAAGTCCATGAGATATGTTCACAATTCATTCCCGGGTAAAAATATTCCACATCATCTTCATACATTTTCACAACACATTTATTATTGTTTGGAGGTGGTGTTCACTAGTGAACAAGAGAGATAAAGAGAGAAATGTGTTCTCACATCTAATCAAAAGCGTTTATCTCTGTCTCTTATGTAACCAATTTCAATCATCACCACATCTACGTCCATTGGGGCGGTGTTCACGCATGGAAATTAATCGCCTCCAGCTTAGCCCTTACGCGTAGAAACACTCCCATACCTGGTGGCCTAAGACTCACAGGAGTGGTTTCGGCTTTGCAAAGCACCGCCTCCCTAAAATTATGTCATGTTAGCCCATCTCCTTCCTACCATTTCTTAATGTTCGGCAAGCCATTGCCAACCAGACACAAAAGCTGCATGCCTAGCATAGGAAGACGGTGCGTACCAAGTTTACCAGGCTCTACATAAGAATCCAGCTCATTCTTGTCGAGTTGGATGTCATGTCTTCCCTCAAGCCTAAGTTCTAGAATTTAATGTTTATTTTTATAAAATATAACTCATTTTCTCTGATAAGATATAATTTCTCTTTTACAATTTAAACAAACATGTTAGGATTCGATGCTCAAACCAAATCATGCCAATGTTATGGAAGTTCTTGAATCGTGTAAAATAAGAGTAATGTCAAATGCAACTCTCAGATTTTATAAGAAAGACAGTCCATCCAAGTCATTTTGTATGTCTGGAAAAAAAGATAAACCATGGGCTTGAGGCATAAGTCGTTTCAGTTCTAATCTGTATATCATCTAGGATTTAGTGTTGAGATTCGGCCAACTTAGGGAAAAAGCCCAATCTAGCAATATCGCATGAGTGAAGAAGGGAAATGTTGCTTGTAAAGCTCTTTTGTCAAGTGCATGATCATGGCAAGACTCGATGACTTTTTGGACTGAATATGACTTTTTGGACGTGTTCGGTTAGCATTTCCCCATATCACCTTTAAGTGAAGCCTTTCTATGCAAAAAAAAAAAAAATTTCTTATCTTTTTGTTTTAGACCAAAATGACGGGTTATCATCTATTGACATGTCAATTTTGCTTATGTGACAATCTACATGTTCAGCCTCCTAGATTTTCTTTTAATAAAACTTAATTTTTTCATAACCTTTTATAAAATCTTAAAAAACCGCAAATTTAGTCCCTATTGTTTGCCTTGTGGTTACAAAATTGTAAATTTGGTCATTTTAGCAGGTTTCATTGTCGTTTTGGTCTATGATGATTACCCATGTTGTCCCCAATCCTTAACACACACCATGTGCCTTTCATGTGAGGATAAAATTGTCTTTTACTCTAAACTAAACTTATTAAAGAATGTTGAATAAAAAAACATACGGGCCACCACCTCACATCAATCTCTTTGTCCCGTCCCCCACATTACCCTTGGATTTGTATCATCAGGTCACCTCTCTCGATCATCTCTTCCTCCACCTCTCCCGATCGCTAGATCCCTGTACTAGTTGCCACTCCCACCTTGCCCGTCTACCACCACCTCCCATACTAGACTGCGACGACGTTTATCATCATTTTCCTTTTCTCCTATCAGATCATGAAAACACACTACATGTATTTCGCTAAATGTTGCAAAATTCAAACCATTCTTAAGTTGTTGCAACGATGTTGAGAACACCTCATGATGGACAACGTATGTTGACGGTGGATAATACCTGAGTTCCAATCAGTGATTTATGGAGGAAGTGAGGGAACTACCACTTAAGAGGTAACGTACGTGGCCAATGAGATAGATTATGATGTATCCATAAACGTAGATTTCGATTTAAACAACATATATGTCTCCATGAATGTCGTTTCCCAGAAAGGGGAATCTTTAGCCCTTGCGCAGAGATCATATTGATCTCCAAAAGTCTCTTTAACATCCCTTGAATCTCGATGCAAGTCTCTTGATCTCACACACAAACAGTAAATGTGGTGTAATCAGGCGTTAATTATATTGATTTTGACATGAAGTCGAGATCAACGAGGAGATTTTTGAATGAATTTGAGTTTCGAGTTCGAGATCAATGAATTTATACTTTTGAACTGTAGAAGATGATTTTTTATTTTTTATTTTTTGCAGATACTATTTTTTACTGTGAAATTTCATCTATGCTTTTAATCTGGATACATAAATGGAAATTGTTGGCGGTGATCGTCAAAGAAGGCATGCATGGTGGACAAAGGTAGAGGCTAGATGTGACATCCCCAATTTTATGGTCCGAAAAGGACATTTGCTTTATGCTTATTTAAAACAATGTATTCTTTTATTTGTGTGGAATTTGTCCCATAACAATTATAATGTGAGACAAAAACATTTCCGAAGAAACGTTTTTCATTAATAATTAAAAACTTAGGATGTCATCATCGATACACAAACATAAGCACAAACTAGTCATTACAGGCCTTACAATAATTTATTATACTAATGGCTTACAAACTCCTTAAATCTCTCTGCAGATTTAAAACTCAACATCCATGTGCTTTCGTACCACTACCTGTGATACAAAGAAACCGAGTGGGCCAGGCTTGGGAGCCTGGTGAGCACATAAGGTTTTCAACCCACAATATGTAACATCCCAAAAATCACAACAAATTTAAACTTTTTAAAACGACCATTTTACTAATTAAAAGTATTTACAAAACCATTGTTTCCAAAAATATTATTTAAAATCAGAGTCTCCCAAGATCAACAACATAAAAATCCAGGATGTGTACAGTCACGCCTTCGTCTTCCCGCAATCATCAGAAGTACCTGAAACAACAACTAAAAACCGTAAGCCAAATCTTAGTGAGTTCCCCCAAAGTACCACCACATACAACATATCAAACACCATCATGCATAACCGAACCTTCAGCATGACTGGACCGCATCACAGGGCCTACAACCTATCTGGACCGCTCCGAGCCTTCGGCATGACTGGACCGTCTCGTAGGGCCTACCGCCTATCCGGACCGCTCACCGGGCCTTCGACCTGACTGGACCGCCTCGTAGGGTTTACAGTCTATCGGGACCGCCCAGGTATCTTGGCCTTCAGCACAAAGCAGGACTGCCTTAACCCAACCACACATAACATGTCGAAATATACATAACAGATAAACATATAACCAGTCAACAGACAAACAGGCAGATCTACAAATCACTACCGCATGTTAACATCCTATATACCACGATATCGATCTAACATATCACTACATCATAACAACATCCTATATACCAGGATACAGATCTAACCGATCACTATGGTATAACAACATACGATAAACCAAGATATCAATCCAAAGGGCCGGTCTTGGTGCCTTCGATCCGTAAGTACAGTGAGGAAAACTCACTTCACAGTCTGAAAAACAGCTAATGAGGTCCCAACTCCAAATCTCAGCTCTAATCGACACCTATTCATCCAAATGACTAATTCTCAAACACCATTCAAAATACCCAAAATACCCCTTGGTCAAACTTGGTCAAAGTCAAATTCAAAATGATCAAAGTCAACTGAGTCAACCCAGCCGAGTCAACCCAGCCAAGGCAACACAGAGAGGTGTACTCCAAAGGTACGCGGGGCGTACTCAAGCATTGACCACCATTAGGGTGGTTGACTACGTATGCGCTGCGTACTCAGATTACGCATGGCGTACGCCCAGTCTTCCCAAAACTCATTAAGAGCTTAATACCTTAGGCTCTTACGTCCAACTTCCAGATCCAAGGCCAAATCATCCTCAAGAGTTATAAAGTTTCCAACTTTGTGACTTTGCATGTCCATTAAGTCCTTAACTCAACATCTTAATACATTAAGACTTTCTAAAGAATGCATGGAGCAAAACCAACCATTAAGACCCCATTTTTATGACTCAAGACCCTTCCTAAGGTCCGAAAGGACGACTTATTGGGTCAAGAACATGCCATGCTCAAGAATCACCACTTTGGGACCAAAAAGTGTCTTAAAAGAGCGAAAGTCTAGATCTACAAGATGGAGTGATCAAGATGCTAACTTTTTACCTTTTGGAGGCTGCTACCAAAGAAGAAATCACAGATACAAGGTGCTTCCCAATTCCAAGCTCTTCAGACCACACTCTTCTCCTTCAAGAACACTTATAAACACTCAAATGGGCTTCAAAAAGGCACTCTTTCACTTAGGGTTTGCTTGGGGTCAATCTCACGGAGGGAGGCTGAAGAAGGAAGGGGACATGAGGTTATAATGACATTTATATAGAGCCAAAACCCTAAAAATTAAGGTTTGGACATCCTATGCGTACACCCTGCATATGAGGTGCACGCCAGCATACCAGCCTACCAGGGTCCGCCCTAGTACGCTCAGTGTACGCTTCGTATGGCCAACATACTAACCCAAAGCCGAAATTGCTATAATGCCACTAAGGGCTATTCATGCAACCTTTTCCAATTCCAAGGGATAAAATATAAAATTATTCAAACATAGGGTCGAGATTGAAATTACTTTGACATCGGGATGTTACACAATAATTAAATCCTTTAATTATATATTTCACTTGAAACAAATTAACCCGATTACTCGTTCCCATTATTCTCATATATTGATCTCAAGGGACGAGTCCTAAGGATCATCGTAAGCAACGATTATACAATACTGCTTCAAGGATTCCTTAGCAATATATATCAATAAAGCAACCATTGGGGGATAGAGTACATCGAATGAACACATAGTTCATTAGCACCTCTAGGTTG